CCTAGAAGACCAGGAAACTTAGTCGAGCCGTGTCATCATGCTGCCGACAACCTATCCCATACCCAACCATTCCCCTCCATATGCGTTTGTGAGAGTGTGTGTTGAGTGCGCCTGTCCCCCTTTTCGCCAAGTGTCTGTTGGTGATGAATGATGATGAGAAAACAAAAAGAAACGCCATGTCCATTAAATCAATGCTGACCCGGATTAGTTCCTTTCCAAAAAAAGAAAAACAAACAAGAAATCGCTGTAGTGATAATAATAGCAGCCAAAGGGCAAATGACACAACGAAAAACGCTTTTAAAGTAGACAAGATGGTGAAAAGAAAAACAAGAAAAGGGCCCAGCTATAGAACAAGAATGAAAAAACACACGGAAAACTCCACAAGGGAAATAAGAGGCGAAACGTCGTCATCGGTGCCCCGTGTTCTCAACCATCTCAGATCAAGGAGGCGTCGCCGTGTTCTCCTTATGGGTTCCCAGAACTTTGGGAACCTGTCCGTCTCGTGGTTGGGCAGCAACACGTGGCAGCTGTGTCGGGCGCCGAAAACCACTGACAGGGAGAAGGAAAGCCGGAAAGTAGGGTGTTCCAACCACATCCAACCGCCTTTCGGCCCGAGTACATGACATTGCCGGTGGCAAGGAAAAAATTCAAAAAAAGACTGCAGCTCAAAGTGTGCAGTCGGTCGGTCTAGTAGACCGGCACGGGATTCGCGAATCGCAGAGGGCTCGATGGTGCCGAGGGCGGGCGGTCACTTGAGTGGGAGTGCCGCCGGCCGAAAATGCTCTGCATGATAGCCCTGGGGTTGATGTTCTCAAAGCTGACCGTCTTGTGAATCAAGGGAACGGGAATGTGGTGGACCTTCTTGGTCTGCCATCGCTCCTTGATGCAGTCATCCACGAGAGTCATGAGCCCGGTAGACATAATGACACTGAGGAATCAAGTTAGCAAGCTGCCCGTGTACAAAATTCAGGAGGTGGAAAGAAAGCTTACTCGGCAACATCAGTGATGGCATCCACGATGGTCTCATCGGCGATCCACATGAAGCAAGGAGGCACCCAGCCACCAGCGTTCTCGTCAGCGAGCACCTGGCTGGGAGACCTTGTCTCGGGAACGATATGCGCGACCGGCGCGCTGGAGTTCCCGTCTCGGATCAAGTGGAAGGACACCGAGTTCAGCTGCTTGTCAAAGTGACGCTTCCAGCTGTACTTGTGGCCCCACCACTCAAATTCGTAGCGCTTGTTGTTCTTGCTGCCCCGACGATGCACATCCACGCGGGCATAGTTGCTGAACTCAAGCTTGATGGTGTTGGTAGGCTGCGGCCTCTGGGCCTTGTGATGATCGAGTGACAGACGAGACAAGTTGCTCCGATCGTGGAAGATCTCATCATCGGCATCGGAAGTTGAGTAGCCCGTGCCAGGGCGGCCCAAGGCTGCCATGCCCGACTTCGCACGGCGAAGAGCCGGTTTTCCACCACCCAAGTTCTTGATCGCGGTCGACATGGAGCGCTTCAGCGTTGGCCTCTCATCGTGATCCCTGGATTGGGGCCTCGAAGGAGCGCCCGGCTCAGTGTACTTGCGCTTCGAGTTGCAAACCTCGCGACCAGAATCCCTCGAGTACCGACGAAGCGAGAATTCCCGCTTGGCCAGATCGTACATGCGAAGATGGAAGAGCTGGATGGCCGTTCTCCTCCGTCCCGTCACCACTGTGTCGATCCGCAAGTTCATGTTTCCGTCGGAAGTAAACTCATCATGGCGAATTGTCAGGCGGTTGAGCGAGGGGAAGAGTTTGGCGAAGTCTTGGGGGGTTGAAGGGCGGACATTGGGCTCGACAAGCTCGCGGCGGTACACGGGAAGCGGCGGGATGCTGTTGTACTCGTAGTCCAACGACTTGTCGTCCAGGGTGGCAATATCCTCAGATGAAGCTGTCGTCGAGGCATATGTCTCCACGGAGGAGCGCGAGTCGAGGGAAGTGGTAGGGCTGACATCGTTTCGGTAGTCGTAACTCCTGGACGTACCACTGCTTCCTGTTGATGCGGGGGAGCGCTTCAAGCCAGAGGGACGGGGCGAGGTGTAGAGGGAGGTGGGCGCAGTTGAGTTAGAGCCATATGAGTCGTTACTCCTCCTATTTCGAGATTCCTGGCTGGTGGAGGAGTGACTTGAGCGTGTTTGTCTTTTGGGGGTAGTAGGAGGAGGCATATTGGAGGATGGTGAGGGGTGTGTGTGTGACAAGGTGGTGAGAGTAGAGTGAAGAAGGGGTGGGGGAGGGTGGTGAGAGCGTCGACGGGTTGAAAAGGGGTGAGCGGGTTTGTTCAGACGACATGCTCCGAGTTATGGCGTGTTGGGTTGTTGCTGTTGCTTGATGATGAAGTCGGCGGAACGAAAAGGGGGGTCCCGAGCTTGGAGGGCTCGGTGGGCGCGCTGTCAGGATCGGTCTTATAGAAAGTGACCCAATATCCAGGGGATGGCGGATTGGGCGGCAGCGAGCTCAGCGCCGTTGAAGACCTTGGGAATTGGAAAGGGTCCGGAATAGTATGCCGGAGTCGAGCCAGGGGGGGGGGGGGGGCTGCAACTACAGAGACAGGGTTGCAGCTGCGTTGTTCAGGGTCTGCAGGTGTCAGGTAACTTCTTAGGTTAGGTCGGGCATTAAACGCGGGGAGCTGGCGTCGTGCGTTTTGCTGAGGTGCCGTGGTTGCTTTGAATCCTCGACAGGTCGAACGAACAAATAGATTCGGGGCGGCAGAAAAGTGAACAGGTGGGTTGTGCAGATGTAGACGCACAAGCAGGAGCAGGAGCAGGAGCAGAAGCAGAAGCAGAGATGCCTTGATGCGTTGATACGTTGATGCGTCGCGGCGTTGGATGAAGTGTCTTGGGATGCTTCACTAGCGGTTGACAGATCATATGGGGCCCAGATAGTGTAGAAGCACTTCAGGTCGATGGATGGGGACGTCGTGATTTTAAGAATTCCTACCATGTAAAAGAGCCTGGTGCAACCCCATTAATGCTGCTGCATAGAACGCTCAGGAAAAACGGACTTCCCCCCTTCGTGCCCCAGGCAAGCCAGGATGGTGCGGTCATCGGAGACGGGCAGATGAGGTGCACATAGAGGCAGTACATGCCATCGCCCTCATCCGCCCATTTGTGCTTCACCATCACCAGCCACTTGCAGAGATGCAGGACGTGGCAGGTGAGTTGTGATTGGTGCGCCGTCGTCATTGGCCAGAAAGTATCCATAAGCACACGGTAGCGATTGGTCCACCTTTCACAGCATCTCCTCATTGGGAATCCTCATGTGGTACTTGGTGCGTGGGAGGAGTGAGGAGGACGGTTGACAGTTCCCTTCAGTCCAAACTCCAATTTGCGTACCGAATCTGTAGATGCAGTCCGTAAAAGTCGCTCATGCCCCCCGTCCAGGTAGAGGTCCACGTGGGGGCGTAGGGAAAAGACACCAAACTGGTAACGCCGGAACATGCCACTCATGCAGCTACCGTGGGCTGTTGGGACAGTGCCAAACGCTCGGAGGGTCCCCTAACATTCTGGCCTCCTGACACTGCAGGAAGGGATCATTCTCAATGGGATGAGGCTGACACTTTCTTCGGACTTGAGCGGCAGCTGCTGCTCTTGCGCTGAAACATTCTTTCCTTACTTTACAGCCGGAGCATTTTTTCCAACCTCTCTCATCTAACAACCACAAAGATGTGCGACGAACCGTTCATCAGCTGGCTTTGTCACGGGCACGTTCGAAATACTGGCACACGCAAATCCTGCATGTCTCCAAGTCCACCATCCTGACAGCATCAGTCATCCTGCTGCGGTTGGCAGCAGACATCCCGGGTCATCGACGTAATGTCTCTGCAGCATCGCCCAAGGTAACGCTGCGTTGCGTTGCACTGTCGACAAGGACGGCATCGTTTCGATTGCACTTCATTCCAACAACACAGCAGTCATGTCGAGATATCCTATTCTTGCAGCAAATGGTGGACATGGACAACGAAGCGTTCGTAGCAAACCGGCTAGCTTCCTGGTCCCATTCTCGTTTCTTCTAGTCAACCGATGCCGTGGACGTCGCCGTAACCACAACCCTTATTTCTGAATGTTATCAACGACATCTGCTTGGCTGATCAGAGAATTGCATATGGCGGCTATCATGGCATTCTCAAAACTACCTTGCTGGGATATCCTTGAACAACAGAGCACGGCAACACGGGCGACGTCCCCTAGGACCAGAGAGTGCAGGACATCACCAGCCACAGTCCTCACCAACAGGCTGTACGTGGCAGCTGCATCAGCGGGAAGAAAAAACGCCAGAAGCGCCTGTCGACGCCGGTACCTTTGACGGAGCCCAACCATACTGAGTCCCAAGCTCAAAGGCACAAGCTGTGGTGAAAGGGTGGGCAACGCGTGAGGGGACGGGAATCGAGGCTTGCATAGGCCATCCGGGCCCCATTGGCTGCGACCAACTCGTGGGGAAGGCCTGCAACCACCGACGACGGATTTCTCATGAACACACCACTTACTCAACGATGCAACTATCACCATCCAATTGAACGTCAATGGCCTCGGGAAAGCCATGCCCAGCCCACCTGGGCTATCTGCTGCCAATGAGCGCACGGTCTCCCGCTGAAAGATAGAACACCCACTGTTTTGTTGTGGGACTTGTCCAAAGCTGAAGCTTGAATGTTTGGAAGATCAACAGCTTCAACAAAGGACAACGAGGGGCCAGCTATCTAGTGCCGCGCTCACTTGTGCGTTGTGTTGCTCGGAGAATGGTTGTTACGGCATCACAAGCGTGGATGCTCCGGTCGGCGAAGACTACTTGCTCGGCAGCATGTCATGGCATGAGATGGTCTGTTTGCCGAGCCCAACCTCTTCAAAGAGTTGAACGAGCTGGCAGCGACCAAGTCACCTCAGTCCAGATCTGCTCACTGGCCAAAGTCTTGAGATGGCCGTTTAGAGCTTGGCGCTGTGGGCTATTCTCCGCATATGGAGTAGCGACTGTTCCCCTATGCAGGCCAGGACCATTGAGCGTCCGCCATTCTTTTTATGTTGACTTGTGTCAAGCGTTCATTCGTCAACATATCGGGCCTCAACACCAACCCCAGCACGCCAGCACGTGGCCGACAACGCTTCTTTCCTTGATGCCATTCGCGAGCTGGGGCTGTTCATCTGTTCATTTGCAAGGCTTTCGCAACATGGCTCCGCTCTGTCGTCCTGCTGCCCGAAGAGACCCGTATCACTGGGGAGACACTACCCAAAATGCTGACATTGCGAGGTGGACTGCGGGCTGACTGATGATTCCCAGGGATCGCTTTTGGCGCCTGAATCTGGGGTGAAAGAAGGCGACCAGATCAAATCTGTCCGGGGAGGTTTTCCTATGTCTCAGATGCCCATCCATCACGGCTGCTGCCGGTGTCATCCCGCCGGGGGGGGAACGGGCGGGGGGGAGTGATGAGCACATATCTTCCTCATACAGAAACTGCCCTGACTTCACCGTAGCTCGGCGTTTGGGGACAGGCGCGCGAGATCGCGAAAGGGCTTTGGATGGGGCTCCTGGCGATCAAGTGTATGAGACTGGTCTCTGTTGATCCGCCGTGGAAACGCGGCTATTTCATGTGGATGTGTGGAGGATCTCGTCTGATCTCCCGTGGACTGGTCACCTCATACCCAGAGTACTGCCACACAAGCTGATGCGCAGTCTCCTCAGCTGACGTTGACTGTCGAGGTCTAAAGAAGGCTGTTCTCCTTCACCGTCTGTGATCATCCAAGTTGTCGGATGGTGCCCTTGTTATCCTCGAATGCCGCACCCGATGGTTTGGAAAGGCTCTCTGAGCCTTGACCGGCGTGACAGGTGATGATCCTGTGCATTGCGATTTGCCTCCTTGATGGCTCGGTCATGACCTAGACGCGTACAAGTGTACCACCAGCAAGAGGCCAGCTGCGGGTGGCAGCGCACTTGGCCGTCCGCTCGTTCACAGAGGAATTGCTGCTTGTGACGCATCTGACGCAATTGGTACTCATGCCCAATGACAGGTCTCACGGTTGATCGCTTTGGGTATTCCTTCCAATGCCCACCTAGATATCCGAGCCTGGACCGTTCTGGCAGCGGGTCATCACGGAAAGTCATTGTCGCTTGCGAGGCGAGGTAGTTGTCTTGACTATTAAAGGTGCGACAAGGGCGAGAAGACGGCATGGGGCATGGGACCCTCCTGTCATGGAGTTTCTCGAGGCTTTTTTGTCCAACCTCTGGCGGCTACAGACATATTGATTCCTGTCAACATGTCATGAGCCGTTATCAAGCACCTGCAAGTAGCTGCAACTTTTTTACCACCTCTTTCCCGTCTGCGGCTGCCAAAGACTATTGGCCAATGGTTCTCCAGCACATGATCCTGTCAAGGTTGCATACCTTACCTCGCGCAGGGAGATACATGACATATCTTACACCTTTCACTTCACAACTACCACACCTCGGTGCTGTTTGTTCATAAGACTTTTGTATGCGCCAACACGTGAGCGAAGCGTAAGCGCGCCCTTCTCACTCTTGTTCTTCTCGAGGCCGAAAGGTGTGGGTTGGGTTTCGATAAATGGTTGTCTGCCGGCCAATGAATGCAGGTGGTCGCTGGCACGACATGATTCGTGGAAGTCTCCTATGCCTCGCTCGATGCAAGGTTTTCCTTTTGTCACTGAGGACCTTTGAAGAACTGCCTCGTGGGCCTCGAGGGAAAAACTCGGAATCTCGAAGAATCGCACCCTCTCGAAGTTTTTGCGTGCTACCCTTCTGTTCAACGTTGCCTTTTTGCTTCTCCTCCATTGGGGTACAATCGCGATCGCATCAGACAGCCAAGGATACAAGTGGCTTATACGGGGGGGATTGTCGAACCATGAGGAGAGGGTTGCGGCTGCATGCGCTACTTATCTCATTGGGTTTTGAGGGAGGGGAATTTGCCGGTTGATGGGTTTTGGAAGATGCCGATTCGTTCGAGTCGTGTGTAATCCGGGAGGGGAGACATCTCTTCGCACCCAACTGGACTGGCTAGGTAGGCTGATGAAACCTTGCACCTTTTTGTCGCCCGTTCGACGGTATACCAGTCCCTCCATCCCGTGGCGATCGAGGAGGAGGTTAGCTATGATGGGGGGATCAACGCCACATTGTCTGTCTATGTCCCTCAAGGTCATACCATTGTGTCGTCGGGACTCGGTGC